TCTGCGGGGTTGGGCTCTCGGCTGCTGAAGCGACAAATTCCGCCGCGCTCCGTTCCCCCTGCTTCTTGGCGTTAGCTTTCTTGGGGGGTCCGGCTCTATACAGGAAGGCAGTTCTATAAAAATAGCAGCCAAGCGTAAATGATGACCAAGCGAGCGAGAACAGCGTTGAAATAGCACTGAAGGTCTGGCAGAAAATGAGCAGGAGTCGCGTAGTTCGGGAGTCAGCTCCTTGGCGCAGCCGAGGGCTCCTCGGCCGCGGGAGATGCCGGGGCTGCGGACCCGGGCCGATGGGCTGCCGCGTCCGGTTGCCGTCCCAGTTGTGGCTCTTTAAACTTTTGAAGTTACTGTGAAGTTTCAGGTACCATGGGTGGTTTAGCAAGAGAATTGCCTGGTGCGTCTGGGGGAGAATGAGAGAGACACCAGTGATTTTGGAGTTTGACCAGCAAACAAACATCCTGCTTGCTTTAAATTTAATCTAAAAATGGGAAACCGAAGAGGTACAGCTTTGCTCTTTTTCCTGGCGATCCTGACGTGCTGTTTCCCAGGGTAATGCAAAAGCCTGATAAATGAACGTTCCAAAATAAGGAAGACTCGGTGAGAAATTTTCTGGAGCAAATCGTCAGCAGTGAGGAGTTATTGCCAGATTTGATCTGGTTTCCTTGTTTTGAAACGAGGAGTTACTTTGCCTGGAACGCGTTTATCCAGGAAGCAACCCTTAATGCGCTGCGCTCCGAGCTGTGGGGCTACGTGCGGGGAGGTGGAAGAGGGTTTAATTAAATGTAATCAAAGATTACAAGATTCCTGATTGAAAGGTGTAGAGCTTGCTTTCCGGTGACGTTTGAGACGTGCTATTTATTTGAACTCTAGAAGAAAGTCATTTTTGATCTTGCAAATAGTTTGTTTCTTTTTTTTTTTCTCCCCTCTGTTGCTGGGTGACTGGCCCTGCTTTGTTTTCTTCATTGCCTGGTTCCAACGCTTGTTGGCTGGGCGAGGAGGGGCAGAGGAGCGCGGTGTGTCACGACCGGGTGATGGTGTGCGGCCGGGGCGACCGCGGGAGCAGCTGCAGCCCGCCCCCCCCCCCCCCCCCGCTGAAGGCAGCGTGAAGGTTGGCGAAGGCGGCGGTTCTGCGACGGTGGGCGCGTGGGATGGGGCGAGGGAAGGCACGGGTGGGTGGCACGGGCGTGTGTGCGTCTGCTGGAAGGAGAAGCTGTGCGCGAGCGTTGAAAGCGCGGTGGGAACGTTCAGGGCGGCACGTCTGCAAACGCTGCTGTTCTCGGGTCTGTGCGTGAGGGGGGCGTGAAAATGAACAACACAGCGCTCGCTTTTGCAGAACAGAATGAACTCCAGTGCTGTTTATTATTAAACGCCATCGCGAGGAGGAGGGCGTCAGACCGTCCCCCTTTCCTGCCCCCCCTCCGGGGACCGTGCGTGCGTGCCTGAGTGTCTCCGCGATTTCGTGTGTGAGAGGATGAGGAGTGTGTGTTTGGGATTAATTAGCCGGAGGTTAGCTGCTTTCATGCTTTACGTGCCTAGGGGCTACCCGCAGTCACTGAGAGGGGAGGAGTTTGCTGTTGCTGGCTCGAAATCCTCTCCAGGGGTGATCTTGTTCGTGTCAACCATGAGCAATTAGAGAGATTAACTGTCTTGTTTTCCTTTCTGCCCTAGATTGATTCTTGGGAGGCTCTGGGACGTTTGAAAGTGCTCTGGAGAGAGCGAAGTCTGTGTCTGATGGACACCGAACCGGAGCCCGCCTGTGTTGTGCAGCAGGCTCCCTGCCCAGGCATGAAGCGCCCACCTGCCGAGGACTTCCCTCCGCAGATGAGACTGGCTGAGAAGATACCGCCGGAGAAGCCGTGCTTCAAGAAGGAGCAGCAAGCGCAGAAGAGACTGGACACGGAAACTCTGCGGGCTTTGCGGCCAATCTTTACCAGTTTGCTGGGGGCTGGGACCTTGGATAGGGTCTTTGTGCCCCGAGGCCAAGGCGGCGGTCATAGCGATTTATGTGAACCTGCTGTGAAAAAGACTCTGGAACTCGGTGCTGCTTGCCCCCAGCCAGAAAGCAGCGTGACTGTGCTGGTGCCGACAGCCCCGGATGTGCAGAGCCCATTGCCAGGAGCTCGTCCTTCCTCTGGGCATCCCGAGCAGGCTGGCCAGTCAGGAGAGCAAGGCTTGTCACCAGAAGCTGTTCCTGAAACCGCTGCTGATGACAGGAATGAATCATTCCGGGATCACCCTTTGCACCCAGCTGCCAGCGATGGGGCAGCTTGTCCTTTGTTCCCAGGCAAGATTCTGGAGAGCTACACATCTGGCTTATTCCAAGAGAGCAGCTGTCCGACGCAGTACGGTTTGAACGCAAGCAATAAATTCAGTGCTGGGATATTCCAGGACAAAAGCGAAGAAGCTTCTCTCGACCTGGTATTTGAGCTCTTGAACCAGCTGCAGTATCACACCCATCAGGAAGACGGCATAGAAATCTGTGTGGATTTTCTCCAGGGCACTTGTGTTTATGGCAGCGACTGCCCCAAACATCACACGGTCTTGCCTTACCATTGGCAAGTGAGAAGGACAGCAACCCAGAGCTGGCAAAGCGTGACCAATGATTCCCAGGAGCACCTGGAAAGACTGTACTGCAACCCTGACAACGACAGGATCAAGGTGAAATCCCGGTAGGTACCCGAGTCTGCTCCTGTACTAGCGAGGGCGCGAGACTGAGCAGCGGGGCAGAAGTGTAGCAGGAGGCGTGTTTCTTTTCTCCTGCTGTTTTGTATGTGAGTGATTCGCAGACCCTGTGGTGATGTTACCTGAAAAATATCTAACAAGTGTACCACAACGGAGAATTCTCGCACACTGTTTAGAAGCTAATGGGATCCTGGGGTGCATTCAGAGGAGCGTGGCCAGCAGGTCGAGGGAGGTTCTCCTCCCCCTCTGCTCTGCCCTAGTGAGGCCCCATCTGCAGTGCTGTGTCCAGTTCTGGGCTCCCCAGTTCAAGAAAGATGAAGACTGGACTGGGGAGAGTCCAGCGGAGGGCTACGAGGATGAGGAGGGGACTGGAGCATCTCCCCTACGAGGAAAGGCTGAGGGAGCTGGGCTTGTTCAGCCTGGAGAAGAGAAGGCTGAGAGGGGACCTTAGAAATGCCTCTAAATATCTGCAGGGTGGGGGGCAGGAGGACGGGGCC